AATGTTTAATAAAGTAAACAAATAAATACTAAGCTTTTTCTTTTTGTAAATTTTGATACCCTTTAGATCATAATGTCTTTATTTCATAAATTAAAGTGTCAGATTTTTAACTTTGTAATTTCTGTATGCATCTTATCAGATTTAAACTGATGATCTATAATCCGGAAAAATCGATAATCGGGAATGCTGAAGTCCCGACGAATCCGGATTAATGACTTTTGACTGTATTATACAAAATATTTAACAAAATGAAACAAAAATAAATTATAATGTAATTAAAAGAAGCCTTTATATTACTTACAGTATTATCTGAAGATTATTATTTGAAACTGATTTCATGCTGATTAGTAAATTAAATAAAAAAATAATTAGTTTTAAATAAAATTAAACATAAGTATTAGTTAAAATTAGTTTTCCTTCACTGATATAGATATCTGCATATAAGCTGAACTCTTATGATTTTGATTTTCCGTAGAAGTTGCCATCCTGGAGAAGTAAAACCACAGTTTATTTATGTTCCAAGAAATATCTGTCACTTTCATAATTAATCACCATAAGTATATTATATTTGCAGTCATTTTTTTGGTTTGAATGCAGCAATAATAATAATAATAACCTGGTTTTTGGTTACTAAAAATATGTTTACTTATATTTAATTATTAATTTTTTTATTATAGTATATTTTCTGAATACAAAGATATAGTTTTATCAGAGGAAAGGGTTAATAATTTAAAATGTATCATAAGATAAAGATTTTCAGTTTCAAAATATTCGTACCCATTTTAATAAAATATTTGGGTGTACTATTTGATTTTCTACACCCCTTTAAAAGATCGTCAATTAATTGATGACTGTGAATCTGCAAAAATATGTTTGTTTGGCTGTTTTTACATCTCATAGCTACTTTCTTTTTATAAGTGATAATAAGAAAAAGCATTTTATAAGGAGGAGGAAGTCAGTATGGCTGATATTTACATTTTTATAGCCTGAAAAATAAGGGATAAATGTTGTGTAAATCTGTGTGTACTGAAAAACATGTGGTGCATGCATGGATGAGTTGGCTGTTTTGCATATTAATTAAAAATTAACATGCTAAAAATCTAGCAATTCCAGAAATTATCAAAGTATAATTTCTAAATATGAAAATAGGATTATCACTGTAAGAAAGGAAGAAATAAAAACATGTGAGAAAAATGTTTAGTAGCTAATTTAATTTATTGATGATTAAAACCATACTTTATCTCTGCCATCCAGTGGAATAAATTAGTATTCAAAGAGAACATAAAATACATTTATGAGATTTTATTTCCATATCTTTATTTCTGCATTTTTAAGCATCACACTTTTTACCTCCTTGTATGAATTGTCATGAAAAATAAACTAATCATGAAAAATTTTGGGTATAATATTTCAATGAAAATATCGATTTTGACCACTCTCAAATCCATTTGAATCATATTTTTGCATATCTGTACGCAATAATAAAGGACTTTTTTTTTTTTTTTTTTCTAAAATAGGTTGTAAAATAAAATTAAAATGGATTCAAAAAGTTTCCCCCCCCCATATATATGCATGTATCTCATATAACTGAAAAATGATTACCCATAGAATGTTGATATTTTGTATATGGAACTGTTATAGCAACTAGTTGAGCAATTCTCTTTTTTCTTTACAACTGGCTGAACCAAATGTATTTATATATATCTACTGTCTTACCGGGCTTGGTGAGCTGTGTTTTTTTATCCTTATATAATGTCAATTTTTTGCTTTAAAAGTGATTGAATTATAATGTTCTTATATTCTGGTTAAGATTTTTATGCATTTAGTTAATCTGCATGCAATAGTTGTAGAATTATCAACAATTTAAAACTAGTGGTTATATTTGTTTACATTTGAAACTCTTAATTGTATAGAACAGCGAATCTCAACCTTTTGATTAACGCGCATACCATCTAAACAAAAATTGAAAACCTTTAGTATCACTACTACAAAGTACTATTACCACCACCACTCTTGAACAAAGCTCAGATCACATAAATTTACGTCTTGTGCCCTATTGGATACTTAGTCATAGAGCTGGCAACGTCGCGTGCTCTACAGCGACAGCCCGGCATAAGAGTATCAAAAAAAAAAAAAAAAACATCACCAGTATGTTGTGGTTTTAATTTTTGATTTTAATAATTAAAAATACCACCGGTTGAGAACCCCTGGTATAAAGAATTAAGTCAGTTGACACACCAACTTCAATGTCTTTTTGTCCAGTGGAACCAAAAGTTGACCTTAAATTTTTGTGCACCAAAAATTTTGTCTTTCTGTTCATTGCCCATATTGCTTATTTTAGTCTAGAAATTTTAATTTAAAAAAAAAAAAAAAAAATCCTGTTTTTTGGTATTTAGGTTTTTCTGTATTTTACAGTTTTTGATAATGTTGTTTTGAGTTTTTATGTATGTTTTATGCCTTGCCATAAGGGGAAAACTGAACTGATTAAATAAGAAATATATCTTTAATGAAATTTGAGAAAATAAGCTGAAATGAAGTGCAGCAAAATATATATGTTATTTAATAGGCCATACAAGGAATTCTTGTGGTATTCGCATCAGATTCTTTTTCTTGTTCTTGTGTGTTCTTGGTTTGAGTGTTTTTATTAATATTTTTTAACTCGTAACTGAGCTAAATATATCTTGCTTTTAAAATATTGACTTTCTGTATGAAAATTAATTATGTAAGACAAAATTCAAATTAGTTACTAAAACTTACCACTTGAATTCTTATGAAATAAGCTCAGCTTGCAATTTCATAAAGATATAATATTTTCATTTGTGTTTATTCTTTAAATATGTTTTTAACATTTAAATAAATTCCTACATTTTATTTGTAAAATTGCAATTGCTAGTACATTAACTTACATATAAAGTCTATCTCTTTGTGTTCTATGTAAAACCTAATTACAGTAACCATATGCCATAGATGATACACAAGGGTCTTCCGCAACATACATTTCCCATATTGCCAAAAGATGGCACTGCAAAAGTGCCAAAACACGAAGGCACAAGCTGGATAGTTTGTTGGCATGGCTATCGTATGTAGCAGCCATAATTTCTCAATTGCTTACATTAGCATTGTTATAGTGTGCAAAGATGTTGGCTCTTAGTTCTTTGTCTGCCAAATGTGAGGTGAGGTCTGTGATAAAGCTTTTGAACACACAGTAAGTAGCACAAATCAAAATCCACTGTCAGTTGTGTTAAGTATATGGACAGGATCTGATGAGCAAGCAGAATGGTTCATTGTTAGTGTCGGAATTTTTCCGAAGGTAGGCAAAATGTCCATAATGAACATCGCTGCAGCTGGCCATCCCTCATCGATGATGGCCTTTTGGAGCAGGTGCAGCAGTACATTCTGCAGAATCATTGCTTTATTGTTACGGATTTCAGTAACCATTTCCCACGGATATCACAAACTGTGGTGCACGAAATTGTCATAAAACACCTGTTGTTCCAGAAATTGTACACCTAGTGGCTGCCAAAGGACCTTACACCACAAACAACAAACAAAATGCATGGGAGTAACATTAACTTTTCTCCGGCTATACCATGAGGAAGGCAACAAGGAACTCAGTGGGATCATTACGGGTAATGAGATGTGGGGTTGCTCACTTCACTGCAGGAACTAAGCAACAGTCATTGGCATCACAGACCAAATTCAAGCAGAATGTATCTGCATGGAAATTAATGTGTACAGTCTTCTGGACAGAAAAAGCATTCTACTCATAGACTTCTTATTGAGGGGTGCTATGTTGAATGCTAAATGTTACTGTGCTCCAACAGAGAACTTGCGATGAGCCATTCAGAACAAGAGGTGTGGAATGATCAGTTCTGCTGCTGTGTTGCTTCACAGCAACGCTCGCCTGCCTACCGCAAATTCTGCACAAAAATTAGCTGCTGAAGTTTGGCTGAAAAATGTTTGACCATCTACCATATAGTCTCGATCTTGCTACTAGCAACTTCCACCTGTTTTTGCACCTGAAGAAATTCCTGTCCAAGAATTGCTTTTCCACAGACGAAGATGTGCAGGCACATATGTGACACGCTGTCTCCATTCTCAGACGGTAGACTTCTAGGGCACTGAACTACAAAAATTTATCCCATGACATGACAAGTGTTGCAATACGGATGGTTCTTATCTTGAGAAGTAGCTGAAATATTGCTGCATCTTTTGTAATAAATCTTTCCAGATAATTCTGTTTTGTATTTTTTATGGCCCATGAGAACTTATTTTCAGATGATCGTCATATAGCAACATCAAATTTTAATGCAGTCTTCTGGTTTAATATATGCCTCAAATTCTGTACATATTCTCCTGTTTGGTAACACAGGTAACTTTAATTTTTTTTTTTTTTAACTTAAATGGTACATTTCACTATTTGGGCTTCGAGGTGTACATATGTATGGGTACTATGCATGTTCAAAATAAGGTGCCACTATTTTCTCACAATTTTTGCAAGAAACATATACACACCCAGATTCTTCATTATTTAATAATAAGAGATTAATACATTATCATATAGTGCTAAAGGAGAATAATTTTTCAAAAAAATTTTAGGTGCAGATGTGAACTCTTTTTATCTATACGTCTAATGTCATTATAGAAGGTGCAAAATATAATATCAACATGTAAAATCTATAGTAACAAATCAAACTGAATTTGTAGACCAATATTATGCTAAACTATTGACTTTAATTTTCTTTATAAAGATTTAAGAGTATAAAGAAGAAATGAGACTTGAAAGAACCAATGCATTATGTAATTCATTAACTTTAATCTGCATTTTGAATAACTTAAGGAAGATCGGATTGTTCTCATACTTTACAGCTATCTCAACATTTTTTGATCGTGTCCTATAGATCAGTTGTGGAGATGTGACTGTACTTTTAATATGAATATAAGAATATATTAAGTCCTTATTATATAGTGAAATTTATTCTTTCATTGTTTTCTTATAGATTGCTGTTAATGGTCAGCATTGTTGGGAGTTTCAACATAGAATATCTTATACGCGAGTCTCTTCAATTTACATAGATGGTTCTGTTCGTATTGAAAGAATTGAATTTGTGAATAAAATTAGTCCAGTAAGTAAGAGAAAATTTTCAGCTAAATGGTTGTGTCCTACTGTATTTTAATTTTAACTTTTTTCCCATGTAAATTTTATATTTTTTCAAATTGCTGATTCATTTTAATCAAATTTTGTTTCAATTAATAAATGCAATAAAATTATCTTGACATTTGATTGTATTAAGATACTAGAAGAATAATCGTAGCTTGCAGAAAAATGTTTAAGTAATACTTTCAAGCAAGGAGATAAAATTATTTAACATAGTTTTATCCTGAGTTCTGTTTAGTGAATTCTAGGTACATGAATTTTATGGAATTTTCTTTAAGAGTCGGTTTTTCATTTTTCTTTCCAATTTTTTGTAGTTTTTTGCAGAAATAAGAAATTTTCCAATACGCACAGTCTCCAAACCATACCAACATATTCAATACAACCATTCCCAATACAATTTCAGGCCCACCAGCAGCCTAGCAGTAAAGACACTGAACACTGGTAGTTCGGTCTGAGGTTCAGATCCCACGAACGGGCTGGCTGCATGGGCGTTTTTGTGGTTTTCCCCATGTGTAATGTGTATACAAGCCAGTTTTCCTTAGACAGTACTCCACGAAGGCATCCCTCCCTTTAGACAGATAGCCCTCGTGTACTTTGCCATCATTAAATAATCCAGTCCAACCAATCCCAATACAATTTCCAATATTTCATAAAATTTAACCATTTCTAATATTCCATCCATTTCCAATCTGTACAATTTATAAATACTCTGCTGGAATTAAGTAGCCAGCTAACCATCACTAAAAACACTAATTTTGGTATTTTGTCAAGGTAAATAAATTTGAACCGTATTTATAGTAAGAAGAATAGAAAAGAGTGATTAAAATATTTAATTTGAATTATTTAAGACTATATGTTTCATCTGATTTAATTTTAAAAAAGGGAAAGACATATATGTTGTTTGCTTCCTTTCTGACAAAGAAGTGTATAAAATAAGAATGTTCTTAAATATTAACCCTTTCAGCCATAGATTTTTTTTAGATGTGCTGAAAAAAAGAAAAGTATCCAAAGCACTGTTTATAGGCATTAGAACTCTCTTTCAACATAAATTCCTTCTTAAGTGGTTCCTGCTACCATATTGTTCCACAAACAATAATCAAAATCAATTATTCAAATAGTATAAAAACTATTCTTATAATAAAGATAATTTTTTACTTATATATAAATACAATGTTATACTTATTTAGATATAAGTATAAAAACTATTCAAATAGTATTTCTTTATACTATTATTCAAATAGTATAAAGAAAAGTATAAAAACACGTGCAGACAAGCTGCCAGATGAGACCTGTGGTTTTGAGTAGTAAAGCAATCTCTATTACCCATAAAATAGACATCTATGAAGATGGCAAATGCAATCAGCAGGGCTGAAAGGATTAAAGTAATAGATAAAAGCAGCAAAAATTGATATAACATGAGTAAATCTGGAAGACTGGTTTCAAAAATTAAATAGTTTTTAACTTTCAGAATAAAAGTACTGCTAATTTACTCATGTATATCAGTTCCTTTTGTTCTTTATTTGCTACTTTGCCATTTAGCTCCTTAACATTTCTTTTTGATGAATGCATTCTTTCGGACTTTGTTTTAATAACATAGTATGTATGTTTTCATGATTTATTAGTTTACCAAAAAGTCGTATGTTTTGTATTACAGAAGCATATAAAATTCTCAAACATTAATGACTATAAAGTTAAATAACTTAATATTTTTTAATTTTTGCTCTCCTGATTGTAGTGAACAGTCTAAGGTATGTATTTGATTGCATTTTTCTTCATAAGCTCATCATAATATCTAATTCTAAATAAATTGTTGTTTGTTGTACATTTAAGCATTGCAATACAAACACTTTATCTGAAGTGTTTGAATTGCAATTGAAATGTTTAACCTCTTCGTCGTCCGTAACGCATCTAGCATGTTCAAGTGAAACTTTCGCAGGGCGGCCGTAATGCGCCTCAAGCGTTCTTCTATGGCATGCTATTTCTAATTGAATTTGCACCGGTTCTATGAATATTCGCACAATTTTACATAAGATGCAAGACAGTGAGAGATGGCTTCAACGTCTACTCAGCAGGAAAAGAGAAAAAATGAGGTTGTGAATTGAAAACAAGAAATTACTTGATGAGTACAGTCATAATACCTCAATGATTATGTTGGACAGGGAAAGAACTGTAAAAAATCGTAGTTGTAAAGATTACAACACAAAAGGGAGGACTGGACCACCTGTATCATGTTATAATTATCCTGCTGTTAAATAGCAGAGATATTTTATTCTTCCATTATGTTTTATTGCCTTAAATTTACTTCTATTCTCCACTACAAAATCATGTATGGAAGTTATGATTAAGAAAAACAACATTACGCTAAGAAAAACGACGGCGCTGGGGAAAATTTCGCGGACAGGAAGGACACCAAAAAGTTAACATTGAACTTTTCCTTGTATATGTCAGATGCAGTTATTATTATCCTTAACGCTGCTGCCTGTAAATAATTAAGTCAGCTTCTTTTTTTGAAAATGAATTGAGCATTTGGAGACGAAGGCAGTTTTTTTACTCCTGACCCTGACATATTCATTTTTAATAATTATGCCCAAGAAACTTATTATTAGTAATTTTATACGTCAAAGTCGTTAAGCCACTCGTCGGACTCGGCGGTTCGGATTATCGATTTTTTCCGATTATAGATCATCAGTTTAAATCTCGGAAGATGGCATGCATAAATTCTAAATTAAAAATGAAACCGTAATTTATGAAACAAGAACATCTGATCTAAAGGGTATCAAATTGCAAAAAGAAAAAGCTAATTTTATTTTTTACTTATTAAACATTGGGTCAATTAATTGTTTTAGTTTTGCTTCGTTTCATTGATATACTTCTCTTTAATTCTATAAACAGACATACTTTCTTGTTCATTACAAGTCCGCCTTCAAGTCCTATAATTGCTTGTCAAGAACAGCTATTTGTAATCGAATTTTTTTGTTTCATACTCTGTCCTTTTCCCCTATCGGAGCGATTATAATGACGAGACTTGTTTTAATCATTCAAAGACGGAGCATCGAGATGAATACACTTTGGTAAGGAATTATAACCCGATAAATAAAACATCTGCGCGAGATTATATAGTGCGAAATCACTCCAATTCTTACGCGACCCGCCGCCGAGCACATGAATTGCTAAACATTTCGGATTTCACACCCTTCGCTTTAACCTTTACATATTAAAATATATCGGAATTTCTATTGAATAATCGAAAGTTGAAGCTTACTTTTATAAAATGCTCTACAGTCTGCAAAAAATAATAAGCGGATGCAATCGAAATGAAGGAACACGCAAATAACATTACTGAAATAGATAATTAGATACGTTTAGCGGATCGTCCTTATACATAAATGCGCCACGCGAAACGATCTGCACTGCGCACCTCCGATGCGCCGTCGTAAAGGTTACGCGCACGCGTGACGCCTCTGCGCATGGCACGCGGCGCATGCGCAGAAAGTTTTTAGTTTTTATGTCCGGATTATAGATCATTCCGAATTATGGGTGTCCGAATTAACGACTTTTGCCTGTATATGAATTTTGATGTATAGTCATTGAAACTGTATAGTTTATATGGCATATTTTTCAATTGCAATATTTTCAGTGGCATATTTTTGCTGCCTAGATGGTATAGTGGTTAGGGGGGCCGACTACAATACTGAAAAGTCCGGGTTCGAATCCCGGAGAAGGCATAGATTGTGAAGTGTATGTCCATCATAGGAGGTAATGTGGTTGCCTATTAGGTGCTTCCATAATAAAATGACCACCACTTTTGGCTTTAGGAGTGGCCAATGCAGAAAAAAGGAAAATGCCCACCATTCAGTTAAAAAAAAAAAAAAACTATTTTCCAGTTATTATTCAAAATTTAAGTATTATTTATTCTAAATAATATGTGCCCTATTTTTTTAATTTTTTTCTAAAGGAACTTGTGCTGTAATTTCCTCTTTAAAATTTTACATTTAAAAAATATTTTATATCTGGTGTTGAATTTCCTTAATAAAGATTATTCATATTTTTAAAGTAATCTTTTTGTTGTTTTTTTGCATAAAATAGGATTGTCACAATGAAAGTCGTATTAGAATTTCACCCTTGGGTGTGATATGGGATATTTTCTTAGAATTAATTTACAATTGAACTTAAAAGTTTGTAATTATTTGTAAAAAATATGCAATTGAAAGTAAAAACTTAAAAATAAGTAATACAGCATTTAAAGACACAAACATAGTATATAAATTCTGTATCTTTTAACTTACTATGTTGTGGATTTTCAATTAACAAAATTTTTCTTCATCATTCTACTAAATATTCTGATAATACTGTGGTAATAGGTCTTAAAATAGCTTAAGATAAAACTTTTAAGTGATTTTAATAATTTGGTAATCTAATCAAGTTATAATTTTTGTTTGGCTTGCCCATATCAATGTTATGTTTTAACTTCATTTCAGCATTTTAATTTAAAATATTTTACATGCATTGGAAACTAATTTTACGTCCTGATTGTGTAATTTATTTTTGCTCTCAGTATCAACCTGGAGTACCTGCTTCAGTTGCTGTATGCCCTCCTGCTGGACATATGACACCTGTATGATATTATTTAATTTATACCTCTTTAATTTTAGCATATTATTTATTTATTTAATTGTTTTTTTTTTTTTTTTTTTTCCTGGTTTAACTTTTGAAGACGGATGGCCATTATAGTGGCCATATCCTCTCTTTGAAAAGGGGTTGTCCGTTAGTGCCATGTCTTTTTTCCCCCCCATTTTCCAGGTTGAAAAGTGGGGTAAAGTCCATTTGACGTCCCTAGGTTTTAACCACTTATCTTTGTTTTAATAGAGGTGATTTCTTAAAGGGGGGAAAGCATTCGGTTCAAGATTCCCTGTCCTTTGGTAGCTTTTACTGCTACCAAAGCCCCGGCCTCAAAAGGTTAAAAAGAAGCGGAATTTTGTACTTCAACTTTTTGTTCAAAATATAGATGTACCATCTTGGCATGCACAGTTTCATGTTTCCATATATATATATAATATATTATAACACACTAGTGTGTGTGTGTCTATATATATATGTTATTTTTAGTTCATGTAGAAACTCGTACATTTTGCTCATCAGTTCATTTACAGAAACTGAATATGATCTCCAACCTTAAAATGAAATATTTCATTCAGTTTTTCTCATATGGGAAACAGTTTTTGTGAACATGAATATGTGCATCATTTGAAACATTTTTATGACTGAAAGTAAGACTATGAATAGCAGTTGTGAAAATAGCTGGATAAAGACTTTTTGGACATGTTGTGTGTGTGTGTGTGTATATATATATATATATGTTATAATAGCAAGTAAAAGACAGAGAAGTAGGACGAATTCTGATTGCATAGTATGCTAATAATGTTGAGTGGCAGTCGGGGCAGTTTTAATTCCATTTTTATTTGCAACTGATATTTGTGGCCACAGTTTGCTTGGCACTCTGCTGTGCCTGTGCCTATTCAAGAACATTTTCATTTTTGATGATAGTATTGCAGTAGGAAGTAGCATAGCGAAATTATGTCCAAGCAGAGAGAGAAGCTGAAGTGTGTAGTTATGCAAGATGAAAGCACACAAAGAAAAAGGTTTTGGTTTGAGTTTAAAATTTCAGTTCCCAATTATTACATCATCTGTGCTGTGCAGGCCATGCAAAAAGGAATGATCTTGAAATGACACAATCAAGAGAAGTTATTGATTTTTAGAACCGAGAGGAAGAATTAGAGTTTACCGTTAGTTTAAAAATTACAATTTTGATTCACATATTTTTATCTTACGTATATACACACACATATATATATGAAATGTAGAATCTCATACCTTATTTATGTTGTGCAGCCGGGCCGGGGTAACAGGAATGAGACAAATTTTGGTATATAAATTGATACGTTTATTTCAGCATTATTCAGCACAAGCGTTCATCCTGTACCTCAAGGAGAAGCCCTATTTATAGATAAGTGTGCATCATGGTGCTCATCCAATCAGTGATATTAATTGAAATCATGAGGTGACGCTATCTTCTCATCAGGAGTGTTCTTAAGGACTTTATGTAATATGACAGATTTATGAGTTTGGCGATTTGGCGGGTGCCAACAGGTTAATATAATTTATAATAATAAAAGGATTTCGTCAAAATTTAAGAACAGGGATGTAATTTAGGTAGGGAATTACCAACACATTATTAAGCAATATGATTAGAATTGAATTTAATCAATTGATGTAAAAATATCATTACATATATATATATTTTAAGAAAAAAATCAACTTCAAATAACTCTTAATAATTTATTAACCAGTTCCTTAAAGCAAATTGGAAATGCTAAATTCCCAAAAAAAAAAAAAAAAAAAAAAAAATCTTGGTCAACTTTTGCCATATGAGAGTCAAAGTTTTTCTCTTTTATTTTTCTAAATATAAATGTAGGGATCAGAGAACTTTATTAAAAAAAAAAAAAAAAAAAAAAAAAAAAAGATTTATTGCCATTTTTGTAAAACTGATTTAAAGCTTTTTAGGGGGGGCTTCTTTGAAGCATGTATTTATGACTAACAGTTGCAAAAATAAAGGCCAGGTAATAACTTTTGTGGAATCTTCAGTTACATTCTTTCTTATTTTGAAAAATGACCAAGAGAGACTAACTGAAGTAGAAACATAGCAGGCCATTGTAAAGTTTTACATTAAGTAAAAAAGCAACCTTCAATTATTGTAGACTTAAAACTATATTAGTTTCAAGGGTCATCAGACAGAGATCTTTTTTTCTTGAGGAACAAAATATTTTTTTGCTAAGATGGACAACTGTATTTATATAAAAATTATTGATTCCTGTTTGATTTGAATTCTTTGGGAATTATTGTATATCATATAAGAATGGTTTGATATATATTGGCCAGATAGAACAAGCATCAAAATTTTCTTCTGATGAAATTTATATTGTAAACTATATTTTTTTTTCCCAATGTCTAGGCAAAAAATTACAAAGGACTAAAATCTTATAAACAAAAATTACTAATAATCAAACTAAAAACAAAAAGACTAAAGTCATTGCCTGAGGAGCACCCTTGCCTCCCAGTATCTCGACTCCTGTGTAAGACCACAAAGAGCCCCACATTGAAGCAGGTGGTCCCTGTCCATTTCTTCTCCAGAATCACAAACTGGGCAAATAGGATTTGCTTGAAATGCCTGTGTGGTGCAGGTGGGTGGCAAGGTAATCATGTCCTGTAGACAGACGGAAAGCCGCAACTGCTAAACTATATATATTATATAGTATATCAGAATTATATTATACAGTACAAAGTCCGTAATCCGGACTCGTCGGGACTTCCACAATTCCGGATTAGGGGTTTTCCCGGATTATATATCATCAATTTAAATCTGGTAACATGGCATGCAGAAATTATACAATTAAAAATATGAAACCCGTAATTTATGAAATAAAGGGCAATTATGATCTAAAGGGTATCAAATTTTACAAAAAAAATCTTATATTTATCCGTTTACTTTGTTAAACACTTCTTTCAATGCATGCGTGAAGCATACAAAAAAAAAAAAGTTTGTGGCTTTGAGGTCTGTATTATAGATCATTCCGGATAATGGACGTCCGGATTACGGACTTTGTGCTGTATACACAATATACAAATCAAGGAAAAGGTTGAAAAGTTTGTATTTATAGTCAGCTCGTGACTCTCATGTGGTAGCTTTTAAAATTTTTCATGCCATTTCAGATTCTTCCTGTTTCATCCTTATCTTGGCAGGAAACTAGACCACTGAATTAGAGCCTACACTGGAATCTTCAGTTTCCATGTTCACTAGCACTGTTGAAGAACTGATCGGGAAAACCTATAGGTCATTGTTACAAGAGACAAGAATGAATACGAATAAGCCTCATAAATGGAGTTTAACCTAAATGCTTCTTCCCTCTTGGCAGGTGGAACAAAATCTATTTTTTCACAATTTGCAAAGTCTTTCCTTTGTTACAGTTATGAATATAAATAGTTTTTCTCTTGAAGAGATTTATAACGTAGAACCTGTTCCTGTTACCTGATAGATGTTGCATTGTTGTTTCAACTTTCACAAAAAAATTGGCATAAATAGATTTTTCTCCTAAGTCTTCAAAACTTACATTTAAAAAAGAAATAAAAAAATTTTCGATATCTAAACATAGTGTAAAGTCAACTGCAGTTTTGGTTCTGCAACATTTATCCACAGAGCTTTTTCAATTACTGCATTAGATTTCCTAGAAGTCTTTCGTAAAAATTTACCTTTTTTATTTAATTATTCTAACTCATTTCTTCCTAATGCTTTAAAAATCTTAGTGTTTTTCATATTTCATTGTTTTTTCTCTCAGCAGATAGCACAACATTCATTTTTGCTTTGCTCCCAGTGATTTTCATGTAAATAGGTATGGTCCCCCATTTTTAGAAGAAATTAGAAGCGTAACCTATATCTAATCATCCTCAAAAGATGGTTTTGTTCAAAATATATGCTATCCTAAGGGTTTTGTTTTAACCTTAGGGCTATGGGTTTTTTTATTTTTTCCCTCCTCGTAATTTTAACTGAAAGCATTGCAAAATCTCCTTGTATTTAAAGTTTTTTTGTAAATGTGGTTAACAGATTTATAAATTTTCATAAAGCAACATTTAACTACAAATGAGAATTATTGAAAAAGGCAGTTTAGTTATTTGTTAATGCCATAGTTATTTGATTCTAAGGCTTTTGTTTTTTTCTCATGTAAAATATGATGGAAAAGTAGAATACACCATAGAATTTCAGATATTTAAAAGCTTAATTATTCCAAGTAGTTAACTATAAAAGCTAAAAGCTCTTCACCACCACTGTGAAATATTGCTCTGACTATTACCTGGACAGAAAGTAAATCTTATAGAAATAGTTTTAATTGCTATTTTGGAACACTTTTCAAAAGATCATTTTGCAGACAGTATGCACTAAATACTGTCACCACCAAAACAAGGAAAAACAAAGATTTCAAACAAAGATTGCTTAAATTTTTTTTAATACTGTTAAAAAAACAGAAAACAGCTTATAGTCTATATATATAAAGAAGAATGTCTGTTTGTGTGTTTGTTTGCGATATACTCAGTCACTACTATAGCAGTCATCACCAAACTTTCTACAGTTCTTTTCTGGGTCCTTGGAAAGATCGACATCCACTTTTTTCAAAAAAAAATTCAATCGTTCGCTTGTTACAGGCAGTTTATGGAACTCGGCAATAGTATTGCAGCATTGCAAAACACTCAATTAATTGGTAGCGATGGTGGTCAAAAGCCATCTGAGTGCACATGCACTAGCATTCACATATTCACATATTTCTTTGATTTTGATTTGTGAAATTTTTGCCTATCACTATCAATCTAATATATATGCATGCACAAGTACCGAAAAGAAAGGATATATAATGGCAGGAAAATTTTGAAGGAATGTGGACTCAATCTGAAATGAACAACTCAAGATTCTAATATCAAAAGTTGTGGAGGAAATAAAATTAAAAGCACACGTTTTCATCGCTTTCTAATTTGTTTTGAAACAACAATATACAAAGCTGAATTTGTATTGACTGTTTCTACTAATTTCGATTATGTTCGGTTAAACATGACAACAGAATATCAATTATTTTTTTAATTGTTTTATTGATTTTTGATCAGTTGTAATCAGTTTGCCACATTTAATTAACTAACTGGCATCGGGTACTTCTGCTAGTAGTAATTATTTTTGAGAAAAAGTGCATTTCTGCGAAGTGTATATTGACCTGGTTTGGCTCCAAATGTAGATGATATGTGCAGCCTAGACCACCGATTTTTCAGAGTGGCAATAAAATTATTCCAACTAGCAGTAACTAAAGGAAAGTATATTTCACATTGAATTATTAATGTAAGTTAATAGGATGCCAAATGTAAAAATCACCTAGGGTGCTAAAAATGCTGGAGCTGGACATGATACTGATTATATAGAAATTGTATTCAAATGAATTGAAGCTTATTGCTAAGCTTATATTTTATTAGTGGAAAAACTTGAAGAATGCAATATTTGTTTAATAAACTTAATAAATACGTTAACATACCAAGATTGACATTTTTTTAGACCTATCTGGACTGTGAAGCTGCGAGAATAAGCTTAACACTAGCATAAGCTTAACATAGCTAAGACCAAACTTGTACAGTTTGAAAGAAGAGACATAATAATTATTTTACTAAAGTTTTTTTTTTTTTTTTTTTTTTTTTTTTTTTTTTTTTTAGAAATGAATTTTTGATGTTCTTTTATAATCCTCACTTTCCGTATAACACATTAGAAGTTGTATATTTCGGTTTCTAGATTTCATATATGAGTAAATTTTTTAGATAACTGTGTTTTTGTGAAATTATATGTTAAGTACATTTCTTTAAATCGAAATATTGATTATTTCTGTCCCAGTATATTTCGTGAGTTCTATTTACAGGCTTTGACTAAGTTTAGAAAGGGATTTGCATTTTTATTTAAGAAGATTTGTTTATATGGCACATTCAGTAATTCCCTTTGAACTACGAAGTCTTGTTTTGATTAATGTTGTATAAAATAAGATTTCTTATATAATATTTTTAATAATATGGATTTTAAATTTGACAGAAATTTTTGCTACTTATATGTAAATAATCTGAAAACAAACTAATAGGAGGTACAATATTTCTTGGGGAGGAGATGAAGAAGCGGAATAATAAAAGTTGGTGTTTTATTATTCTGTTTTTCTGTTAAATCAAATTCAACATTTATGCTTCAATCAAATTCAACATTTATGCTTTCAATAGTTATAACTGAACTGTCTTCTTTGGCTATTAATTGTAATAATAAGAGTGATTTGTTTTTTATGAATAAATGTATAAAATTAAAATTGTCTGGAAAAAAATGGGTTAAAGAGAATTGATTTTTCACATGCTGTTCTAGCTGCATGGCATTCAGTTGCTTTAATGGGAATGTGTTCAAATTTAATTATTCTGTTTGAATATATTATGTATAATAAAATGTATCAATTATCAACACATTTTTTTCAATGTATAAATGTGAAATTTTCTAAAACATTTTTATCTCGTTTCATAGATAATTTTTATTAGGTGATAAAATTATAATGGATAATAAAATTTATTACTATATATAAAGCATTCCCATAGTAAATCTTTGAGAAAAGTAGAAAAAGGAAAGCTTTTCTTATAGGGGGTACCAGCTACACCATGCATACCTTCTGGTGTCACTATACCAGCTGTGAATCCAATCCCATACCATCCTTCAGGTGGAAGAATTGTTCCTCCTCCAGAACAGATTGGAGTTTGTCCAGGTGGTTATATTCCTGGTGGAGTGCAGCCTAGCTCAAATTTAACACCTGTTTATAATCCGGTAAGTGTTTTGCACTGATCTATTTACCTAAAAATATATATATTGTCTTCTAGTTGTTATATTTAGGATAAGTATAAGTGTGTAATTTTAGAACTATTATGATGTACATTCTAAATAATGAAATACAGTCAAAAGTCGTTAATTCGGACACCCATAATCCGGACCTCAAAGCTAAAATCTTTCTGCGCATGCGCCACGTTGACGCATGCTCATAGGCGTTTTACGCGTGCGCGCAAGACATTTACGACTGCGCATATGCATCTGCGCAAGCGCAGAATACGTTTTCGCATGCGCGTTTAATGTATAACGGACGGTATAAGCTAAAATTATCTAATTATGTATTTCAGTTAATGTTGATGATTGCGTTGTTCCTTAATCTTCGAATTGGATCCGGCTTATTATTTTTTGCAGACCGTAAGAGCAATTTTATAAAAGTAAGCTTGAACTTTCGATTACGTCAAATAGAATTTCTGATGCTGGAGCTCCCAAAGGATCTAGAAAGCGAAAGTATGATTCGATGTCCATCAAACAAAAAACGAATTGCTACAAAAACAAAGGCATATCCTTTGTTTATCTAACCATTCCGAAATCTGTTTATCAATTTCACACTGCTCTGCGCTAGGGGGGGACGTCGCGACGCGCAATGAACTGGAAGTTGATCTGTCACCACTATCGTTATCTTCAGGGCAGATGTTTTTATTTTATTTGGTATATAATTCCTTACTAAATGTAGTATTTAATCTCGATGTACTCCGTCTTTGATATGATTTAAATCAAATTCCTTGTCATTATAAATATCACGAATACTAATCAAATAGTTTTCTGGTTGCAATTTTCTAATTTCGGCTATGCGTAAGGTACGCATGCACGCGTTGAAAGAAATGTTTAATGAAGTAAACAAATAAATATTAAGCTTCTTTTTTTTGTAAATTTTGATACCCTTTAGATCATAATTGCTCATTATTTCATAAATTACGGTTTCATATTTTTAATTTTATAATTTCTGCATGCCATCTTACCAGATTTAAACTGATGATCTATAATCCGGAAAAAATCGATAATCCGGAATAGCCGAAGTCCTGACGAGTCCGGATTAAAGACTTTTGACTGTAGCAAACTGTTGCATTTTCATTCCATATTAAATTATTACCATCATTAGGAGTTTAGAATTTTTGCTTTAAATTAGTATCTGTGATGCATAGTGAATGTTAACTTTTAAAACTTGTTTAACTTGTCATTAAATTGCCAATGAATATTCCTTCATATGAATTTTTTATTTTATTTTTAAGAGCAAATGTGAGTTGCATGGCTTTTTTATTAAAATTTTGAAGTACAGTTTGTTTTAAATTTAAAGTTCTTTTGCAAAGTATTCATTCATGAAATAATAATTTATAATAACAGAATCTTTTACTAATTTTTCTGTATTTCAGTTTTTATTTTGTTTTAAAGATCTTATGTAAATCATTAATATATTTTCTCTTTTATTTTGCTGTTGGTAGTGAATATTAAATTTAACATAAATGTTTTTACACATCCTAGTACAAGTAAAACTTTTGACAATGTGTAATCTTCTTTCAGCATATTTTTAGAAATAAGTTTATTTATCTATATTAATTTTTTGCCAGTATGATTTTTATCTGCCTATAATTACATTTATACAATTGGATTACATCTAACTGAAGCAGGAAATGAAAACTGAAGCTTCGCAGATTGTATCACTTATATTTTGTAAAAATGTTTAATAATGTTAGCTCATAAAACAAAACTGTAAAATTTAATGAAACTCTCAGTTGCTATACATTACCTTGTGTGTATATATTATGTATATATATACATTTAAATTTAAATTTAATTTTTAACAAATACGTATAAAAGTAAAAAAGCAAATTTAAATCCTAAAAAAAGGAAAAAAGCCAAAATAATTTTTAAAAAAATGTGCAAACATATAAAAGATTTAATACTCGAACTAATCTACAATATCATTTAAATTCAGAAGCATAAGCAAATCACGTGCAAAATCAATCCATGAAAATAAATTTACTAATTTAATAAATTAAAATTAAATTAAACATTTTTTTTTTTTTAATGCATATGTGAATGACCGTTGAGTAGGCAGGAGACAGACTTATCAAGGGGAAGTTTCCTCCAAACCTAACTCTGCAATCATTCAATTCGTGTTCCGTCATTCATGCAGGCAAGGGTAAAAGTCAAAACCAAAATTAATTCCAATAAAGTGGTTCCCTTAGAAATTAACATTTAAGAATTAAAGTTCAAAAAGGAAAATACAGAAGAGAAAACTACATCTTTTGAGATAACTACATCTTTTGAGAAACAAGCAAGTAAAGTCAAGAATTAAACTTTATTTTTTTTTTAAATTAATTTTTATAAAAAAATAATAAAAAATAATCTAAAAACCAATGTATTTTGGAAACCCTTGTCTACAGAAACCTCCCCTACACGAATATGCATATTAATAAAAAGAAACTAAAAAAGAACTAGACATAATCCATATAAACCAATAAGAAACAAAAAGAACTAATTACAATTTTTAAAAAACAAATATATATTTAAAAATATAATTTCATATTTAGAAAATACTTAGATACTACATAAAAAATTTTAAAAAATACTTAAAGCAAGTAAATAGTAAGTTTTAATTCTAACTTACCTACTATATGAGTGTTGGGGTCTGCAAATGTGTTGTAAAAGAGAAGTAAGTGTGTTCTTCAAATTATATAGATGGCCCTTATGTAGGTAAAGTTGAGTGTCAAGCTGCTATCTTTGTTATAGTAAAAAAAAAATTTTGTAAACATTAATATTAAAAATTAAATTAAATTAAATTAAAAATTAAAAATCCTAAAGATAGTAATTATCAATTTTTTAGGGAGTTAAGAACTGAGCCAATCAAGAGATGTAAGTTTGCATGAAGGAAAATAAAGTGAAGTGGTATTGTGAATAAAATGTAAACTGTTTGTAATGTGAAATGTGTGTTCTGTTGAAAAAGTGTGTAAAAATTGTAAAAACTGTTAAGTGAAAATTGCAAAAAATTAAAGTAATTAAGAAAACTGAAATGTTTTAATATTAAAGTTTTAAAGTAAAATTTCCCAAAATTTTTTGAAAAGAAGTCCTTAAAAAACCTCTAAAAAATTCCAGAAATTTCTCAAAAAATTACTTTAGGAAGTTAATTAAAACTTAAATTTGATGTAAGAAAATATTAAAAGTTTAATGAATTTGATTTCAATTGGTATATCAAAACTTAACTAAATACTGGGTAAAGTATGGAAAATTAGAAGAAGATTAAAATCTTCACTCAATTCGGGCTATAATTGAGACTTTTGAAAAGAGTTGGCCCTTTATTAGTAAAAGGAAAGAATCCAGTATTGATTAAATATACATATTTACAATAATTTCTCTACTCTTTTATATCCTTCATTACCCTCCAGCTAAGGTTTAAGGTAATGTTATCATATCCAAAAGAGCCAAAAAATTATAAAGTAAAGTCAAGGCCTGCCTTTTTAATATATAAATTAATAAATTTTGGTGGTACTTGGTTATCAACTTGTACATTAATTAGCTTTATTATTTCTTCCTTAAATCGTCTATTTCAGTACATATATTTTTTATTCTGATAATTTGGCTATGAAACGTGTTTTCTATTACTTTTCTAGAGATATTAGAGTTCCAATTAATTAGTTTAATAGTAGGAAAATGGAAATTTCGTCTTTTATCAAATAATTTAATTTTGCTGTGTTTAATAATTTGCAGGTCTAGGAATTCAATAGTATCTTGATTTTTTTAATTAAATTCAATTTATTCTTATGAAACAATTATGTATATATATACATCATATGTGCATTTTGTTGTAGTTTTGAAGATTATATATATATTATTTGAAAGGTTCTCATATTTTTCTGAAACCTTTGAATAGTTTTGAGATTATTTGGAGGAGAAAAAAGATTTCTTGCATATATGCATCTGTTTAAGATTTACATCGATTTTCGTTTTAGCCCATACCTTACGACTATCCAATTTATGGTGGTTTGAAGCCTGGAATGATGATTTACATCAGTGGAAGACCATCTGCTAGTCCTTACAGGTTATATTATATTTTGAAATTGTAATAGGATATTGCATTTCAAAAAAGTTTAGGCTTAGTAAAAAATGTGTTATTCATTAAGATTTCAGGGAAAATGAAGAAAATCCAATCATTATTCTAAAAGTGAATAATCTGAAACAATAATTTTAAAAATGATGAAAACGAGAGGCCATAGTAATTTTAAAAAATGCACTAATTTGACTAGTTTTTGTTCTGTTATTGCATAAAATAACATCATTGAACAGAATTTGCCATCAATAAGAATGTATTTAAACATAAGATTTTTCAGTATTGTGTAACAACTGAAAAAATAATTTGAGAGGAGATAGGTTAATTGCGCCATAGAAGATAAGCAAAGAAAAATAACTTTCAAAACTAGTTTTGTCAGAGTTTTCATGTTATAAGTTAGCTGAGCATGTGTATGTTTATTAATTTTAAATGCAGTTATTTATTTTTTGGTAGTATTGTTAACCAAAATTTTATTAAGATTACATATTTGGTAGTATATTTGTGAATTTATTCATTTTCTTGGTGATCCAGCCACAGCTGGGTTATTAATTTAGTAGAATCGGTTTCAAGACTCATTAGGAATCAATGGGTAGTAAAATTGATGTTTAGAATGATTTTAGAAATTTTAATATTTAAGAGAAAATATGATCTTTTTCTTTGGCTAATTTCTCCTTTTTAGCAGCTTCTTGAGCTTTCTCGTTCTCAAATCTTTCTTCTATTATATTAGTTAACATATGTTTCACTAATTCTTCATCATAATTATCAGATTTCCTAATGAGTTCTTTTAATTGTACCACTTTTAGATTTCCTGCCACGACTAAATCCAGTTCAAGGGCAAGAAGTTTTAAATCTTCTTTTCTCCCCCTACCCAAAAAGGACATTTTGTCTTTTGCGAAATTTAAACACAGTCGTAATGTCTCAGTTAAAGTTCACACTATGGCTGTTAAAGCTAATATTCTAATTTTATACTTTTCTGAATTTTAAATATATTTAAAATAAGTCCTTATATATCGTTGATAATTTTAAGCACTTAGGGGTCATACAAAAAAATCAACTTCGCAATAACTGGAAATAAACACTGATTTGCAATGCTTACAATTCACACATTTGTCAAAACTTAGTATCAATTAAAATTTTAATACTATAAATAATCAAATATTATTCACTAGTTTTAAGTCAAGATTACTTATCTTAATTATGCACATCGGGTAGATGTTATCAATGCATCTCTGGGGTAAGAAGATCCATTCCTTTCATATAAGACAACTAAATGGGCTATCACGACATCTATATGAAGTATCCTGAAACAAAAGTAAATTCTGCAACTCTATATTTCTGCCACGAGTTAGGTGCCAGTTTTCTTGTAGTATTAATTCTTTAATAGAATCAATTAGCATTTTAGAAGTTAATTTTTAATGACGTTTTATTAACACCTAATAACAACATACAGGAAAATGATAAAACTCAAAATGGAATAACATTAAATAGTTTCAAAGTTCAAAGCGTGAATTCAAACAATCACATCTCAGTTCTGCAGCTCGCATACTTTGAACTGAGTATTTTCTCTATATCGTTGGTAGAGTGCGTTGCCGACGATATTCATTTGTGACATTGTTGATTTTATAAATATAAACAAATTTTCAAAATTAAAATTAAATATTTTAATTAATGATGAGATGGCTAAGCTTGATGTATTTATGCAATTTTTTTCATAAAATTGCTTAGTTTAATTCTTAAATTATTTTGTTCAAGAATATTCAACCTGTGTCTTATTTTCTGTAGTAAATTATTGACTTCACTAAAGCCTGCTTCTACTAGGTAAGAAGAGGGAAATGCCAGTAATGCTGTTTGATAACTTTTATTTTGGGATATTCCTTCTGCGTGACTTTCATATTCAAAAACTTAATGTAAACATGCTTTTTGAATAAGATTTGTGCTCGAGCATTCTCCTTCAATGCAAAATCAATCAATCGTGTTCTTGCATCATTATATCAAGATTAAATATACCACAGTTCATTGGTTCTGTGAGCTGTGCTAGCACATTCAAATTTTCATTGTCTTCGACATTCAAATCTTTTAAATTTTACAAACAGTTTGTATATAACAATGTATCTTGTGAGTAAGTTTTATATTCTTCATATTGTTTTGGTGTTCTGCATTTCTCACTTTTAATATTATCCGACCTGCAAAAAAAATTAATATATTAAAAATGTATCTTCTTCAATGACCAGACAGCGGAGAATGGGCCCTTGCCTTTCTCAGAATGGAATTTATCCCTGGCCATGGTCATCCAATTCATTGTTTTTAAAATTCTTTAGAGTTCAGAGTTAGTTCTACTTCTCCAGATATTGTTACATTTTATACCACCAAAAATACTTCTCAAAATTTTTCTTTCAAAGATAGAAATTATATTTTTAGCTATTTCTGTCATTGCCCAGGTCTCAGCAGAGTATGTAAGAGTGGGTCTGATTAAGTTCCTGTAAATTAAAATCTTCATTTTTCTGCTAGTGAAGTTAGACTTCAAGTATTTTTGAGACCGAAAAAACATTGGTTAGCATCCGTGACTCTACTACGGATCTCAGGCATTAAATCATTGAGAGTATTAACTTCTGATTCTAAATATTTAAGTTTGCTAATGGTTTCAAATTTGTAATTTCCAATTTCAAAATAGAGGCTGTTGTTATTATCACATGGCATGTATTTAGTTTTATTTTGATTGAAAAAAAAAATATATTGATTTTAAAATATGTTAAATAATTTCTGTGTATTTTTTTCTTTATATTTATTTTATGTGATTTCTTAATTACTACACGATATAGCTATATCAATAAACAATTAATTATCAGGGGTTTTTTTTTCAATCAGTAGAATCTTTGTTGTGCCAAAAAATTGCCCATGCATATTGGGCTGTCGACCCTTTGATCATCATTGACTCCCTTAAAAATTTTATTGATCTCTAGAGGGTCCATACCGACCCCATTGGGAACCCCTGTTCTACATAATAATGATTATAACAAAAAGTAAGTCTATTACTGTATAAATTGAAATTAAAATACTTGCTTCTGAATAATCATTGATACTTAAGATACAAAATTTGAAATTCGAGTTATCAAAATATGAGTTTTTAGTGACATTTATTAAAATGTGTATTGTAATTGCTGAAATTTTTATTATCTTATACTCTTAAGCATAATGTACTGCAAAAAAATTTCAAATTTTTAAAAATATACTGCCACAAATGTTATATTTTTTAGAACATACTGTGTTTGAGATTGAACTGAAAAGTATGTTTTACAGCCATATCTGTGCTATTATTTTAATAACTTATTCTGCTAAATGATTTTAACAGAATTTTTTCAAATCACATGGTTTTTATTAGCATTGTTTTTAAATTTTCAAGTCCATGCTTAAATTTATCAAGCTTTTCAATTACATATTAAAATGAATAACATATTATTTGAAAGTATCAACAATACTCATTTCATTAATTATCTTTTAAATTAGGTTTTCAGTAAATCTGCAGTCTGGCACCTCACCATATCCACCTCCAGATATTGCTTTTCATTTTGATGTGAGGTTTTATAATCATACAATTGTGAGAAATAGTCGCACTAACAATGTATGGGCAGCAGAAGAGTCTTCAATTCCATTTTTTCCATTCCAGCCAGCTGTTAATTTTGATATGATAATCCGAGTAGAGACAGATAGTTTTATGGTTGCCCTCAATGGTCAACATTTTATTGAATTTAGACAGCGCCTACGACCTTTATCTCGTTTTGATACACTTAATATTGAAAATGATATTGTTGTATCATCTATTCGATTTGCATAATTTTTTATAATAATTAACTAATAGAATAATTTTAGATTTATGATATAAATTAATGATATTTAATATTAAATTTTGTTTAATTGTGATGATTGCAGTTTGTAACCTTAAGTTATTTAACTGCAAATTCTGTCTTCTCCTCCCCCATGAAATAAGTTAAATATGATGTATACAATTTCATATATGAATACCTGTTATTATATATTGTAATTATTACTGCTAGGGATTGAAACATTTTGTGATACTACAGTATTATAAAGCTTAACCTTCCAGCATGTGCACATGGCAATTTTACATGAGCACGCACATATCTTATTTTTTACGACATCTGTTCTTTTACTGTTTTGGGCACGAAAAACGACAGAAATGAGTGAATATTGATAATAAATTTGTTAAGAAATAAAATATCAATCTTATTATTGCAAAATACAAATGATATCACATTCAAATATAAGTAAAAGTTCTTATGTTAGTGAGATGGAAATGCAATGCAAAACTGAATTTGTCGTAAATTTTGTACATACGCGCGTGCTGGAAGGTTAAGCTAAAGTGCCTAATCAGCTTCACTTTTTTATTGAAATGCTGAATCATTTTTACTTCTGCATACAAAACTATCTTCATAGTTAGGTTGCAGCTATTCCATTAGAATGCAAATGTAATAATTATATAAATTTAAAACTTTTGAAATAAAATTTTTCTAGATGATTTTTGTGTTTGCGTCACAGACAATGCATAATTCACAAATTTTGAATATTAAATTTAAACATTTCATTAAAGAGTTGGTACTTTCATAATTTTCATATCTATTTTAGGTACTGAAATTAGTAGGAGGCTATATAATAAATATTCAATAATCAGTGTTCATATTGCTGTAGTTCTTTTAATTACAAAATGCCATCAATTCTAAGATGCATACCTTTATTTTCAGTACCACCAACAGAATAAGACTTTGATTATAAGAGAAAATATATGGAATAAACCATTAAAATATATCTAGTAATTATTTTTATTAACTTTAACATATCAGCCATAATTAATAGTGTAAAAAAATCTGCATTTTAAGACTAACTCATTTTAGCAACATTAAATATAGAAAAAGGGTATGTCTTAGGATTAAAGAAATGAGATGCTTTATTATTAATAAGTATGTGGGTAAAATAAGCAAAACCATAGAGTTTTAATAAATTTTGTAATTAAAATAACAAAGTTTTATAGATGACCTGTACTTCTTGCATTAAAACATTATTCACTCGATTAGTTTAGTTTATTTTTTTATCATTTTTAGTATTCTTTGTTTATTTATTCTTAAAATGAGTACACAACGCAAAACTGAATGCACTGCTTATAAATATAAAAGCAAAAAATTCAGAAGAAAATTTAAGAATAATTCTTATGTATGAATAGAGATTGGTTCAATAATCAATCTATAAATTGAACTAATTTACAAAATGTGACATAAATCTTATTCAATTATTTCAGGATACAGACTGTATTAAATTTTTTGAATACTTATCAAAAATAAAAAAAAAAAAAAAATCTAGTCATGCGTTTTGTGCATTAAGAATAATCATCATGTTTGGAAATGCATTAATGTGCGAATAGTCTTTTTTTCACAGGTAAAAATTAATAAGAAAAGAACATGATTAACTGATGAATGTGTACAATCTGTGATAAAAATAAGTTCCAGAATGGCTACAAATTTTAGAAGTTTATAATTATTTACATGCAAACACATTAGTTTTTATCTGTGCATTGAAAGTATAATAAATAAGAGAATGTTTGCTGTTATTTAGACTCAAATTTTGTCCCACTTGGTAAATTTTCTCTGAAAGAAAGTTTCCATAATTTGTTTACTTTTAGTTTAAATGAAAGCAAGTTGTTTGATGATAAATGTGTTAGAATTATTTGAAAGAAAAGTCAGTCTAAGAAATTAGCTGTCAATGTATTTGAATTACAAAGGGTAACCAACAAGAAGTGTCTTACAGATACAAAACTATAGATTTCAGGTAGAAAATAAATATAAGTTTGAATTTTTCCTTTGAGATCCTATTATTTTTGTTAATGTATGTTGTACAGTCAAAAGTCTTTAATCTGAACATCCATAATCTGGAATGATCTATAATCCGAAAATTAAAGCTATAAACTTTCTGTGCATGCGTAACCGCATAATGCATCTCTACGCATGCGCATAAACCTTTACGCATGCACGTTTAATGTATAACGGATGGTATAATCTAAGCTCTAATTATCTATTTCAATTAATGTTGAAGATTGCGTTGTTCCTTAATCTTCTAATTGGATCCGGCTTATTATTTTTTGCAGACTGTTAGAGCAATTTTATAAAAGTAAGTTTGAACTTTCGATTATGTCAAAAAGAATTTCCAATTCTAGAGCTGCCAAAGGATCTACAAAGTGAAAGCAAAAAATGGATAAAGGCATATCCTTTGTTTCTCTAACCATTCCGAAATCTGTTTATCAATTTCGTGCTGCTCTGCAGGGGGATACGTCGCGACGCACAATGAACTGGAAGTTGATCTGTCAGCACTATCGTTATCTTCAGGGCAGATGTTTTTATTTTATTCGGCTTATAATTCCTTACTAAATGTAGTATTTAATCTCGATGTACTCCGTCTTTGATATGATTTAAATCAAATTCCTCGTCATCATAAATATCACGAATACAAATCAAATAGTTTTCTGGTTGCAATTTTCTAATTTCAACTATGCGTAATGTATGCTTTATGCATGCGCACGTTGAAAGAAATGTTTAATAAACTAAACTTTTTTTTTTTTTTTTTTTTGTGTGTGTGTGTGTGTGTGTAAATTTTGATACTCTTTAGATCATAATTGCTCTTTATTTCATAAATTACGATTTCATATTTTTTATTTTATAATTTCTGCATGCCATCTTACCAGATTTAAACTAATGATCTATAATCCGAAAAAAAACCTAATCTGGAATTGCCGTAGTCCCGATAAGTCTGGATTAAAGACTTTTGACTGTAAAAGTATTTAGTAAGCAAAATTTGAAATTATTTCAAATATTTTTGGCTAACCTTTTTTATCATTTTGTTAAAAAAAATTTGAAGAATTTTTTTTTTTTCATGTATTTAAAAAAAAGAAAAAAAAAGTGCCATTTTAGCTCTTTTTAGATCATGGATTCGTGCCACATACTGTTCGAGGTTTGAGACCACTGCAGTACAGCATAGGCTTTCACATTGTTCAAAAGAAAGGTGAAATGCCATAGACTGCTATGATATTGGTATGACACAGCAATGGGCATTATAACTTCAGGAATGTAATGGTAACTGGAACAATTCTAAATATACAAACTAGAGATTTAAATATGATTTGTAATCAAAAGTAATCGTGTATCATCAGTTCAGGTCCTGGATTGTTATCACAATGAAGAAAGCAATCTTCAGATGTTCATTACACAGATACATACAGCAATCACGAGGCTGTATGCAAAAATGAAATTCACCTGAATAGACGTCACACTATTAATGTGTTCATATGCTTTGCTGAACATGTCATTCCAGGTGTTGATTCTTATTTTGTACTGTCAAGGGAAGCCAAAGCAGTATTCACCTGACAATTCAGGACGTCGCAAGTATCGTTCGCACTGTACATGTAGATACTTGGTAATACTTCTGACCTAAAGTTTGTGGCATGGCTATATGCAAATAGTGATGCAGTCAAGATGTCAGTTGAGGCCCACAGGTGACCAAGCGGTAAAGTCACTGAACACTGGTAGTTTGGTTCGATGTTCGAATCCCATGAATGGGCTAGCTGCATGGACGTTTTCTTGGTTTTCCCCACATTTAATGTGTATACGAACCAGTTTCCCTTAAAAAGTCCTCCACAAAGGCATTTCTTCCCTTAGGCAGATAGCCTTCGAGGCTTTGCCGTATTTAACCAAAATAACAACATGTCAGTTGTCTCAGACTTTGGTGAGTGGGTAGTCAGTGAGATTCCACACAAGTCTTTGTGGCCTTCCTGGACCCATAATTGAAATTCTGATAAGTCATTGAATCACAGCAAACATGAGTGGCAGTGATGTGGTATGTATGACAGTCCATAATCCTGGCAGGCAGGACTATCCTGCCACAGAGTTCTGGGACATACTGGTATTCATTCCATGTTCTTACTCTAAGAATAACTTAATTTCCAACTCATAAAGGCACTTTTCCGATGAAAAATTAGCATTGCAGTCTGTCTTTCTGTAATTCTTTGGAATGTCGTTACTCTTTGCCTGTACTGCACACAACTTTCATTCAGGCAGTTTACACATTTTTAGAATGACTTTGTTGAAGAATTTTAAAAAAGGGGGTGGGGGAGGTATTTTTTGGAATAAAAATTTCTGGTAACAGCATATTATTTAAAATGAGAAATATCATCTGGTACTTTTAAATTTATCGCATGTAAACAGGCTCATGATTGAAGAATATGTTTTTGTGCTTTCTGAAGAGAAGTATTTCTATTCCATAATTCAAAAAAGTTTCGAAATAAGTAATGTTAAAATTTCTTGGTGTAAAATAAACAGCATTGTTAATTGAAAAGGGGAAACCTACAGTCATTACTTCAACATGGAAAGAAGCCTCGAAACGAATATTAGAAAAAGGTACATGTTATTTCCAATATTTCTAGAGTTAAATCGTTGGTAACAAGTTAAAAATCCGCTGACGTAGAAATCATTTGCAAAATCTATATATATATATCTGTAGTAACAATAAATAAAATTATAAATCGAGATTTACGTCGGAAAAAAAGCTAAAAAATGTAATGCTCACCAGCTTTTACTGAGGCATGTGGCTCAACGCAGAGCTATTTATAGAACTCTGTATGAAAACTATTTAGCAGGTGATAAATTGGAATATTGGGTTGGCAAGAAAGATTTCATTTAGCAAAAACAGTTGCTTATCGATATTTTAATTAGGACGTAAATAAACATGCATGTGTCTTAATAATGAAATAGTAAATTTTCATACTTTAGAATTTGGCAACGTCAGAAAGATATGAGATACATTCCGATGACCTCAGAAATTACATGACTTAGCTAATGTGAATAAAAAAAATGTTGGTTGGTTGGTTTATGTAATTATGGCACGGCCTGGAGGGCTATCTGCTTAAGGGGAGGGATGCCTTTGTGGAGGACTTTCTAAGGAAAACTGGCTCGTATACATGATACATATGGGGAAAACCACGAAAAAGCCTATACAGCCAGCCCGTTCGTGGGATTCGAACCTTGTACCGAACTACCGATGTTCAGCTACTTTATCGCTCAGCTGCTGGTAAGCCCAAACAATGTAGATTACCTCGGAGATCATGTTATTTCCGTAAAGCTAATGTAAACAAA